GATTTATGTTTGGGTTTTGTACAATGAAAAGTCTGTTTTCTCCCCCTTTTTCTTGCATTTCTTTTCTTTGAGGTAAAATTCACATAAAATAAAATTGATTATTTAAAGTATATAGGCTCGTCCGCCGCCTTGCGCCATGGCGGGCTGCGCTGCGCGGGCTCCGCCGGGCTCCGAGGCGCGTCTCAGCCTCGCCACCTGCCTGTCAGGCGCCTCGGTGCTCGCGCTGCCGCTACTCACGCGCGCCGGCCTGCAGGGCCGCACCGGGCTGGCGCTCTACGTGGCCTGGCTCAACGCGCTGCTGCTGCTGCTGCTCCATCAGCCGCCGCGCTACCAGATAGCCATCCGAGCTTGTTTCCTGGGCTTTGTGTTCGGCTGCGGTGTGCTGCTAAGTTTCAGCCAGTCTTCTTGGACTCACTTTGGCTGGTACATGTGCTCCCTGTCATTGTTCCATTATTCTGAATGCTTGGTGACAGCAGTCAATAATCCCAAAAGTCTGTCCTTGGATTCCTTTCTCCTGAATCACAGTCTGGAGTATACAGTCGCTGCTCTTTCTTCTTGGATAGAGTTCACACTTGAAAACATTTTTTGGCCAGAACTGAAGCAGATCACCTGGCTCAACATCACGGGACTGCTGATGGTGGTCTTTGGAGAATGTCTGAGGAAGGTGGCCATGTTTACAGCTGGCTCCAATTTCAACCACGTGGTGCAAAATGAAAAATGAGATACCCATACGCTGGTGACCAGTGGAGTATATGCTTGGTTCCGGCATCCTTCTTACGTCGGGTGGTTTTACTGGAGTATTGGAACTCAAGTGATGCTGTGTAACCCTATCTGCGGCATTGGGTGTGCCCTGACAGTGTGGCGGTTCTTCCGTGATCGAATAGAAGAAGAAGAAATCTCACTCATTCACTTTTTTGGAGAGGAGTACCTGGAGTATAAGAAGAGGGTGCCCACGGGCCTGCCTTTCATAAAGGGGGTCAAGGTGGACCTGTGATGGGCAGTGACTCCGGTGACCTTGGGGCCTCCGACCCTGTGCAGCCTGGGACAAAACTGTTTCCGGTTGGCCGCTGCGACATGGATTTTCTTAATCATTTTGTATGTCACTAGTCACTCTTCTGGAATGTCCCTTGAGACCAAGCGGTCAGAAGGCCTGAGGACCCAAGGCCCCACTGAAGCAGCCTGTCCTTGTGCTGAATCAAGGTGGAACGTGGGTGAAATACCAGTAAGAGGCAAATCACAGCAATATTCCACAGCGCCCTCCAGAGTGACCTGGGGAGAACCCAGGCCACACGCCACTGCCCCCGAGGCCAAAGTGTAAGTAAAGGATAACCAGGACTCCCTGGGAGAGATGGACTCTGTCCTCAGCAACACTTCCACAGCAGAAAGGGGTAGCGGGTACCCTGCTTATCAGTATTAAAAATGCATTTACAACCTTTCATTTAACCGAAAAACCGCTTTAACCTCTGTATTTCTGTCCACTGCATGAACATCTAGACAATTTGAAAGATACTTCCTCATAGGATGCTTTGGCCCTTCATCTATTTAATCGTAGCTACATATCTATTTTTTATAAGTAGCAGTACACCTTCCAAGGGGACTCGCTTGGTGTTCCTAGCTCAACTTTTATCCTGCAGCAAGTAAGCCTAGATACCTCCACACGATTTGGCCGAGTGGCTTTGTGTGATTATGGCCCCAGGCCAAGGGGACCATGGCCCTGGCCAGCTTTCCTGGGGGTCCTGGCTCCTGTTGTTAGTGACAGGCGGTTCAAAGGAGCGTCAGTTTCTCTTGATCCAAGAAGTGCTTACCAAATGCCTGCTCTGTGCACGGCATTAAACACCGTGAAGTGCTGCTCTCCATTTATTTGGGATTTGATTCTCATTTTACCATAGCTTATATTCTCAATTTCAATGTAAATCTCAGAACTCTTGCTTTCTGTGTTCTGTTCTCAAAATTACATTGCCCCTCATATCATTTCAAACTGTTTTCCAAAGGGGTTTAAGCATATACAACGACAAATCCAAGCAGATTGACTCTCAAAAATAATCTTCAGTAGTGCAAATAGTCCCAGCCAAGATTCAGTCAATATGTTTGTTTTGCAAGTTTGGGAGAGCAGTTGGCCTTGAGTCACACATCGAAGCTTTAAGAGGTGAGACGCTGGCTTCATTCTGGACAAGACAGGAACTTGGCCTCAGTGTGAGATCCTGCCACGCAGTGTTGCGGTGGCCTGATGAAGTGTGAATGTGAAGGCGGTGTCAGCGCGGGTGCAGAGCACCACTCTGTCACCCCACCGCGCAGCCTGTGAGGACCCACTAAACCTTTCTGTGCCTAGACCACCCCATCTGTGGAATGGGGTCAATACCACCTACCTCACAGGGGTGTTGTGAGGACTGAGAATAACAATGTCAAATGTTTTTAATACTCAGAAAAAAAAATAAATAAAGTATATAACTCATTGGCATTTGGTAAATTCACAACACTGTGCAAATACTACTTCCATCTAGCTCCAAGACGTTTTCTTACTTTCTTTTGTGTATGTGTGGTAAGCACACATAAAGTCTACTCTCTTCACAAGTTTTCAGAACAGTATTATTAACTATTCAGAAAAGTATACAGAACAGTACTAACTAGAGTCTTCATGCTGTACCATAGATCTCTAATTAATTCTGTATAACTTCAAGTTTGAACCCTTGGATTTACATCTTTTTATTTCCACTCCCTCTCCTCCCCAGTAACCACCATTTTACTCTGCGTTTTTATGTATTTGACTTAATATTTTCATACATGAGTGAGATAATACACCATCTGTCTTTCTGTTTATGTCTTAATTCACATAGTGTAATATCCTCCAGGCTCAACAATGGTGTTGCAAATGTCAGTGTCTCCTTTATTAATACTGAATAGTATTATATTATGTATATATACTGTAATTTATGTGTTTATCCATTCTTCTACCTATGAACGGTTAGGTTGTTCTCATATCTTGGCCATTGTGAATAATTCTACAATGAAAAGGGAAATGTCGATATTTCTACAAGATGTTGATTTCACCTACTTTGGGTATGTACCCAAAAAGGATAGCTGGATTATAGTTATATTTTTAATTTTTTGAGAAAACTCCACGCAGTTTTTCACAATAGCTGTAGCAATTTACATTCCCAGCAGCAGTGGACAAGGGTTTCCTTCCCTCTGCACCTTTGCTGACACCTCTTACCAGGTGTAAAGTGATATATTACTCTGGTTATGATTTGCCTTTTCCTGATAATTACTGATGTTGAACACCTTTGCATGCATATGGCTATTTTCATGTCTTTCTTGGAAAAATGTCTATTCATATATTTTGTCAATTTTTAAATAGATTTTTTTTTCCTTTCAAGTTGTGGGAATTCCTTATGTATTTTGAATATTAACTTCTTACCATGTACATAGCGTGCAAATATTCTCTCCCAATCCAGAGATTACCTTTTTATTGTGTTGATTATGTCCTTTGTTTTACAAAGGCTTTTTAGTTTAATAACCAATGTTCATAGATTGAAAGATTTAATATTTTTAAAATGTCAAATACTACATGATGAAATATACAGATTGAATGCAATCTCAAGTCAAAATTTCAATGACATTTTTCACAGGAACAGAAAAACATTCTAAAGTTAGATGGAACCATTAAAGACTCAAATAACCAATGTGATCTTGAAAACTAAAAGCAGAGTTCGGGGCATCATATTTTCTGATTTCAAATTACATGACAAAGCTACAATAGCCATAACAATATGGTACTGGCGTAAAAGCAGACACATAGACCAATCGAATACAGTGGAGATCCCAGAAATCAACCCAGCATATATGATCAACTAATTTTGGCAAGGCCAACAAGAAGCTACACTGGGATTAGGGTAACTGGAAATTAGTACTCAAAAGAATAAAACTGGACTCTTATACAACACACAAAAGTCAACTCGAAATAAATCAATGATTTCAACATGAGATTGGAAGCAGTAAAATTTGTAGAAGAAAACATGGGAAAAACCTTCTTGATATGGGTCTTAGCAATAATTATTTTGAATGTGACATTGAAAGCTCAGGCAGCAAAAGCAAAAATAAGCAAGTGTGACCAAATCAAAATAGAAAAGCTTTTAGTAAGTGAAAGTGTGTCTTTTGACAGTGTCACACAGAGGTAACAGCAGGGAGAAAAGTGAGATTTAAGGATGAGGCAAATATATACCTCAATATGATGAAGAACAAAAATAATAAACAGAACATGCATGAGAATAACAAACTGATACAGCTGATGGGTATAGAATTCATGGACACCTTGAATTTCAGGAGGAAAGAAGTGGCCAACTATATGTTTGAATTTTGCAGATAAATAGAGGAAGATACTGACTAATTAATACTGGACCTGAGGAAGAGGCTACATACTGTATCTTCCCTTTGTCATTCATTTGTATTGATTACAATGGCCTTTCCCAATTTTTAAATTTCAAAACTAATGTGTTAGATCATCTCCTACAATTTCCTTAAGTATCCTTCTGTGCGTATGTGTGTGTGTAGAGAGAGAGACTATATAGAGAGAAAAACAGAAAGAGACAGAGGAAAGAAGAAAAAAGACGGGGGAAAGACCAGAAGAAAAAGAAAGGAATGGAAAGAGGAAGAGGAGGAAGAGTTACAGGAAGGAGAAGAAGACCCCAATGGTGAAGAAGAGAATGTCATATGGTTCTGCCACATTGGAAGACGGCTTTGCAGTTTCTTACAGAGCTTACCACTTGATGCAGCAGTTATGCTACTGAGCATTACTAACTGATTTGAAAGCTTATGTACAGTCTGAATATTTTTATTGCAGCTTTATTCATAACTGCCTTCAGAAGATGAATGAATAAACAGGGTATGCCATAGAATGGCATATAATTGAGAAAACAAATCACCTATCAAACCACAAAGAGACATAGATGAATCTAAAATGTGTAATGTTAAGTGAAGGAAGCCATTCTGAAAAGGCTATCTACTGTAGGATTCCAATTATGTGACAATTGGGAAAAGGCAAAACGGTAAAGACAGTGAAAAGATATCAGTGGTTTCCAGGCGTTCAGGAATGAGGAGAATTAAATAAGAGAAGTGCAAGGGACATTTTGGGCAATGAAACTCCTCTGTGTGACACCGTAATGATGGTCCCATGACATTATTCATTTTTCAAGATCCATAGAGCACTACGACACAAAGCACACTTGCGAATGTACGCAAATTAAAACTCACAAGTGTTAAAGAGATCAGAGCATTAAACTAAGTGTGTAGCTGTGTATGCAGGGTCCTATAAGGCTAAGTAAGTCTTCCTTTCCATGAAGCCAGCCTACTTGTCAACATTTCACTTGTCAACATTTGCCTCTTAACATTTGACCCTGTGTTTTTGCTGAGTGTAACCACCTTCTCTATGCAAACCAGGGTCTTTGCGTGTCCTGCGGGGTTGGAGCAGACACTGTGCTGCTGTGACTCCTCCTCCATGGGAATGTTTGAGGCTGAAGTGAAGATTGGCCTTTGCATCCAGGACAGGCGCTGGCAGGCAGGGATGTTCAGGAATGAGGCACTGATGACAGCTGACACAAGGTAACCACGGGGCAGTGAGAGCCATCACCATGAATATTGCAGCCTGAAGGCAAGGAAAGCCTCTGAAATTCGGAAAGCAGGTAGGACTGAGTGAATGTGGAAAGTCATGTGAATAAGAGAACCCCACACTCACAGGGAGACACTGACTCTATCCAACATTTCAGCTGTCATGCTTCAGAGCTTCTGTAATTCTGTTCTGAAGCTTTGATACTATAAGCAGCACTTAACACAGTAAGATTTATGAGAATAATTTTTTGAGAATATTTTGTTTTTTCCTGTATTACCAAAGGTGTCTGATGGTGACCTAAAGATTTTCTTGTGACTCTATGTAACAGACAAACACAAATACAGGCCCACACTTTTAGTCATTAGAGGCTGCCAATGGTCTTTTCCTGCACAGCATGGTCCTACCTTCTCTTGACTGAACAGGGGGAGATGGAATCACCAAGACTAAAGCAGCATAGATTAATCTGCCATGAAGGAAAGCAATGCTGAGAACTTGTGAACTACCAGAAGTCCCCTCACACCTACTAGGGGAGAACAAACAGTAAAAGGGAATCTTTTTAAGGGTAGCTAGACTTTTCTCAACTAAGAGAGTCTTTGAAATGCACAAAATGGAGCTACAGAAATGTTCCCTTCAATTGGTCAATTTTTCTGAAATCTTCCTTCAGAGCTTATACATTTTTGTACAATAGCTAATCCTGAGGTCACCAGGAGAAACTAGTTTCTTCCCTCTCATGGAACTCTCCTGGAAACATAAAACAAGCAAACAAATGTAAGTCAGTGTCTTTTTTTTCCAGTCTGGGGGAACCCAATTGCTATTAGTGCCCTGGAAGGGGAGACTACCTGCCTTCCCT